GCAGTCTTACGCGTTGCAAGGGGGGAGCAGGGGCAACCACAGACGGACACCCTGACGTAGTCTGGGGCGCAGTGGAAAAGCGAGGTGAGGGGCAGAGGGGAGCGAAGGGGGTTCTAGACCCAAAGCCTCCTCTGCCCTCCTGTTGGGTTTTGGCTTCTCTCCTAGCAAAGTGGGCCCATCCGAAGGCCCGAGAATACTCACGACACCGCAAAAGATGTTAGACAGTTGGGGGCTCACGGCACCTTCAGGTTCTGAGTGCTGCAGAGAACACGGCCAGGTTGATTCAGCGGTGAGAGTTTTGAGGGGACAACTAGCCATGAAGGGCGTTGACACAAAGACCAGAGAGGCACCCGGGCTCATACGCTCTCCTCCCGCGGGAAAATCAAGAGACTCTTTTCCTCACTCTTCCCTGCAGCTCAAACTGTGCCAGGCACAGAGCAGACCCTCAAATCCATTCATGGGCGGAGTGAGGGGCCCCAGCACTACCATGGAACCGACCTTGAGTCAGGGCCCTGAGTGCTGCACATTGAGCCAAGTCACCTCCCAACCCTGGACTTAGTTTCCTTCCACTGCAAATGGGAAGGACCCTGCCCTCCCCAGGTCACAAGGAGAATTAATGAAGGCTTCCTACCGGCTTCCAGAGCTGCCGATGAAAGGTTCCAGGACAGGGCTATTAAAACGATGATATTTACACTGTGCCACGCAAAGCTCCCAATTATGACACACCTACATTCACACACACATTTGTGACTGTGGACACACACAATGTCCAAGCCCACTGCATCCAATCCCGGAAACACGGTTCGTAGGAAGAGTCACTTCCATAATAACTGCATCTTCCCTCAAGCCTGAGGGACTTAGTCACACACTGCCCAAATTGGTGGTGGCCCTACAGACTAGGTTCTTTCACAGGTCAGGAAACTGGCCTTAGAGAGGAGAAAAGGTTTGCCCAAGACCACACAGTCTGGCAGTCCTGCTCTGTTCTCCCAGTGGTCCCCAGGAGGCTGGGTCTATCAAGGGTCTGCAGCTGTGAGGTGAGGACCCACTTCTGTGTTACCTTCACTGGGGCAGGGGGTCACCAGCCAGGTGATGGGTGCATGGTGTTTTTTGTTGCTGTGTGTTAATTGATTCCCAGAGTTTTAAAATTGGAAGATTTGCTGGGCTCGGTGGCTCAGCCTGTAATCCCGCACTTTGGGAGGCTGAGGTGAGTGGATTGCCTGAGCCCCAAGGTTCGAGACCCGCCTGGGCAACTTGGCGAGACCTCATCTCTACAATAAATAAAAAAAAAAAAATTAGCCGGGTGTGGTAGCGTGCGCCTGTAGTTCCAGCTGCTTGAAGGCTGAGGCGGAAGGATCGCTGGAGCCCAGCAGGTCGAGGCTGCGGTGGCCGGGAGCAGCCACTGCATTCCAGTCTGGGTGACAGAGTGAGACTCCAGCTCAAATAAATAAGTAAATAAATAAATAAATAAATAAATAAAATTGGAAGATTTCATATTCCAGATTTATATTTCTTACTTTTCATGAGACACTGGAAGATCTGGCAACTCTGGGCCCAAATTTTCACCTGGCCCTGGCCATTCTCGGCTGCCCTAGGCAGAAGCCACCCGCCTTGGTCAGAGTCCAAGGGCCCCCATTTGGTTTCCTCATGACAACCCAGCCAGAGGGACCCTGGTGCGACTGAGCAAGTGTGGAGTCCGTCCTTGTGTCCTCACCACCTTGACCTTCCAACCTGGGCCCGGCTTCCCAAATATGGGCCCTCTTCTTCCGCACCTCCTAAGCAGTTATCATTTAATCCTCTCAAACAACAGATTAAACTGGTATTCTGGAGGGAGAGCCTGAGACTTGCTTGAGGGCACAGATCTGCCTCTCCTGGAGGCTTCAGACTGGATCTGGCTGTACCTGCACCCCTGCCCCTTCCCAATCCAGGGAGAGGCCCAGCTTCCCTCCATCTTGTCACATGCTGCCCTCCCCATTCTAGGACTTGTAAGCACACCTCCCACCCCCTACCATTCCACTTAAGACCCTGGCCAACAAGTCTTAAGAGCTTTGCTCCTCACAAGGCCTGCTAAGGATCCTCTGTCTCTCCTTTGAGGGATGTTCCCCACACCCTGTCACCCGACAAGCTGCCCTGTGGGTACAAGTCCTCCTCTTTCCTGTTCCCCCTGTGGGTTTCTCTAAAGAGCTTTGCAGCTAAGCTCTGAGGGGAGACAGCCATGACACAAAACCCAGTGGAGGAGAGGAGATTGAGCCAAAGTGAAAAAAATCTTACCAGTTCTAGCAGTCCCGCAGCCTGATTTCTCCTCCAACTTGGTTCTCAGGGATTGCTCTCAGATTTATAACTCTAAAGCCTAAGGGTGTGGCCAGCTAAAGTTCTCCAAGCCACCCTTCCTGCAACCCACCCAGAGGATGCAATCAGGCTAGAATGAAGAGGTGTGAAGTGAAGTTTCAGTCCCAGGGATCCCACTCTGGGTTTCAGCTGCTCTGCCCTGGGTCAAGAGTAGTGGCTCTCACAGCACCTTTTTAAACGGACACTTGGTACCTGTTCCATATTTCCTGACCCTTCAAGACCACTTGGCACCCTGGAGCACTGGGGTGGGGTCTTAAGGACAGTCCTGGAATTTCCAGATAGTGAAGATGCGGCTACAGACAAAACCAGAGAGATTTCAGTAGTTCCCACAGGCATCTGAGTCTTGGCTGTGGACACATGAATTCATTTTTTCAAGGGCGGCTCTGAATATGACCCTCCACAATATGTCCTGCACCCCCACTTAGCCATCCTGACCAAAGCCTCTGTAAGTTTCCTTCCTTCTCATGTCCCAATAGCCTTACTGGCCTCCTGGAATAAGCAGCAGGTCTGGCCTCAGGGTCTTAGCCCTGCCATTTCCCACCGCCTGGTGCTCTCTTTCCTCCAGAGCCACCCTGCTCACCTGTCACCTCCCTCAGGTGCCCTTCACAGGGAGGCCTTCCCTGTCCCCAAGTTTAAAATCCTGACCCCACAGGGGGCTACCTTTCCCTCTCTGCTGCCTTTTTCTCCTGGCCCTTAACACCATCTAACATGCTCCATGGGGGACTTTTTGGATTTTTTTTTCCCCCTCTGCATCCCTTACATAAAGGATTAAGCTGCATAAAGAGAAGGAGTTAATGCTATTTCAGGCACCACTGTGTCACCAATATCTAGAATCCAGTCTGGCACATTTAACAAATATTTGCTGGGTGAACGAATGAGTGAACTGTCAAGAGACAGTCCCCAGCTCTCCAACTAAACATGAAGGACTGTCACCCACCATGTGCCAGGCCCTTCAGAGTCATGGTGCCTCCGCCGACCCAGTCAATGCTCATTCCACCCTCAGAGGAGGCAGTGGCCTGCCAGGGCCTGTGCCCTCAACTACCCGCCCAAACTAGTAGCGGACCCAGTTCTAAGGCAAGTCTCCAGTCACCCCCAACTAGAGCAGCAATTCTGGGCTCCAGCTGAGGGAGCTACAAGGGTCCGTGAGGCTCATTTATTAATGGAGCTGATTTATTTCACTCCACTGGGTGCTTTGTTTTTTTTTTTGAAGAGGGCTGGGTTTCTTTAAGACATTGTCTTGCTCTGTCACCCAGGCTAGAACACAGTAGCACCTCACTACAACCTCCTGGGCTCAACCAATCCTCCTACCTCAGCCTCCTGAGTTGGGACTATGGATGCAGGCTACCATACCTGCACACCTGGCTATTTTTCTTTTCTTTTCTTTCTTTCTTTTTTTTTTTTTTTTCTGAAGAGATGAAGTCTTACTATGTTGCTCAGGCTGGTCTCGAACTCCTGACCTCAAACAATCCTCCTGCTTCGGCCTCCAAAAGTGCTGAGATTACATGTGTGAGCCACCATGCCCGGCCATACTCTGCTGTTTTACAGATGGAGAGACTGAGGCCCAAGAAGGGAAAGAGCCTCATCTAAGGTCACAGGGAGCCTGAGGCAGTTGCCCACCATGGCCAGTAATCTAACTTCAAATGGTGACTCTGCCACTTTGTAACCATGTGACACTAGAGGAGGTCCTTAAACTCTGAGTCTCAGTTATATACAAATAATAAAGCACAGAAACAACTGAGCCCAGAAACCCTGAATAAGAGGAAAATGTTAGCTGGGCTCGGTGGCCCAGCCTGTAATCCCGCGCCTTGGGAGGCTGAGGTGAGTGAATTGCCTGAGCCCGTGGGTTCGAGACCCACCTGGGCAACTTGGCGAGACCTCATCTCTACAATAAATAAATAAAAAAAATTAGCCAGGCGGGGTAGCGCGCACCTGTAGTTCCAGCTACTTGGAAGGCTGAGGCGGAAGGATCGCAGGAGCCCAGCAGGTCAAGGCTGCGGTGGCCGGGAGCGGCCACTGCACTCCAGTCTGGGTGACAGAG